GGCTCTGGTTATGGGGGGGCTCAGAAGAGGGGCTCTGCGGGTGTGGGGCTGAGGTCTCTGAGAGGACTGGATATCTTCTAGAGAGCGCAGGCTCTGAGGTGGGAGCAGGGGAGTTGGGGGAAAGGCCCCCGGGGGGAGGTTCTGAGGGGAGGGTTTCAGAAGTGTGGGGAGGAGCTGAGGCCTTGAAGTGGGGTATAGGGACCAGAGCGCAGGCTCTGAGGTGGGAGCAGGGGAGTTGGGGGAAAGGCCCCCGGGGGGAGGTTCTGAGGGGAGGGTTTCAGAAGTGTGGGGAGGAGCTGAGGCCTTGAAGTGGGGTATAGGGACCTGAGGGGATGGGGAGTTGGGAGTCTGCGATGGGGAATGTGTAGGAGGTGAAGTGGGTGAGGGTCCAGAGAGGGGTCCTGAGTGGTGAAGATCTGAGGGAGCTGAGGAGAGTATTGGCAGGGGGTGGGGTGCTGAAGCCCACAATGGGGGTTGTTGGGAGAGGACCAGAGAGGTGTGTGGGGGACACTAAGATGGGAGAATTGGGATGGGGGGCATAGGATTTGGATGGAGGGCATCAAGGGGCCTGGGGTGCTGAGTTGGGGAAGGGCTTGCACCAGCAGAAGGAAGCTTTTCGGTGCTCAGGGTGGGACAGCGTCACCAAAGACATGGGATGTGGTGTCCTGTAGGGAGAGCTGCAGGCCCTAGTGAGGTGGTAGGTGTGGGGGGCTTGGAGTCACAGCTCCTGAGATCTGTCCTGGTTCTGGGAGGTGAATGGGGTGTGGTCCGTTAAACCTGCGGCTTGGGAGCCAGGACTTGTGGGTTCTTTTTCCGACTCTGCCACTGATCAGCTACATAGCTTTGCCTTTTTGCTGTTCTAGGCCTCCATTTCCTTGCATCTGAAGTGGGGATGATAATGGAGCTGGCTAGGTTAGATTTTTGGGTTAAAGTGGCCATAGGAGAGTGAACTGTCTCATCAAAGGGCCCCCTGGGTGGGTGGGGAAGGCAGCTCGAGGAGGTCTTTGGGGGGTTCTGAGGGGAGGGGTTCAGAAGTGTGGGGAGGAGCTATTATAAACATCCTTTGGCTGTACCAGGGCCCATATTGCTCTGCATTCCAGCTTCCAGTCTTAGATCATAACTCCCTTCTGTCAGGGAATGGCTGCTTTCCAAAATTCAGAGCAGCACCTGAGCTTTCTCTTGGAGGCTTGTTCTAGGGTTTCGTGCTGCAGCCCATCACCCTAGTATCTGCGCACCTCTGAACAGCTCCTTTGCTCTCTGCTACCTTGTCTTATTTCTGAACCTTCCCATCTCAATATTTGTCTTAGGAGGCTTAGAATAGGTCTCCGGTGCCAGATTGTGAAATAATTTGTAATTTGAGTTTACTTTGTCTTTTGAGTCCTTAATTTTTTAATTTATTTTTGCTGGTAGACAAGTTGGTTGGAAACTCTAATATCATACAGGAGCTAGGGATCCCTGTCTCCCATCCCTTCCTGCTCTAATCCACTATACCCCACTCCCCTTCCAGACCTGGGGATAGGACCCAACATGTTTGTCCTCTTACAGGGTAGGGTACCACCCTTTGTATGTTCTGGATGCATTCTGTGTAATACACACCATAACCCCCTCCCCTTTAACCCTTTATTCCTGTGACACTTAACCCCTATTTTCTTTGTTTGCTTCCCAGTTCTTTGAGGTCCCACTCTGCATTATGGACTAAGCATCTGCTCTGTTGCGTCAAAAAGAAGCATACTGCATTTACAGATACACGTCGTCTTTTATCGCTGTCAAGAGTGCAAAACACATCATCCATCACAGGTACGATTTCATACCTGTCTCTTACTGATCTGATTTTGATTTTCTGGGATAGGTTGAGGCACGTTGGTGGGGTCCTGTGAGGTGGGGGGGAATTTTTGTGCTTCCTGCTTGAGGGAATCAATGTGGCTGGGTGGTATAGCCCCTGCTGGAGGAATTGGAGGCTTATGGGTATGTGGCTCAGCTGGCTGGCGGAGGGAATCAGGATTGTGCATGTGTGGGTAGTGTTGCCTCCTGCTGGTAGGAGTCTGGGTTCTGTACCTGTGCTCTCCCTTTCAATGCCTGCTCTAGGAATAAATGGACACCTTTGTTCCTAAGGGGCAGGAGTGTGTGTTGCCCTCTTGGATCATGTCTAGCACTTCCTCTGTAGGGTGGTGCTCAAACAAGGCGCTCTCTGCGAAGGCAGCTTGCAGTGCCAGGTTGGCTTGGACATCTGCATTTATGTAGCAGTGCCTCATGGGATTGGATGAGACTATCTGTGTGGCACCCAGCATGATGGGGGACCTTGATCTTGATCAAGATGGAATCCATGAGGTCCCCAGCACAACCGTAGCTTCTCATCACTGTTCTGGCCTTGTCTGTGTAGGCTGAGAGCTCTCGGAGGCAGGGACCCTCTCTCCTTGTGTGCCTGCATGCTGCCTGGTGCAGTGGGGGTCCCTGATTTTCATTTGGGGCCGGGGTCTGTGCAGCAGCCAGCAGAGTGGCAGAGACACCCCCCATCCTGAATGGGGCCCTCCACATGCCACCTCAGTGTAAATGATTAAGCTTCTAGTAGTGAATCTCAGAGCTGCTACACCAGGTTGTATGGCTTGATGAAAGACATGTGGAATTTTCTGGTTGTATTGACGGCTCCTTGGAATGCTGGGAAATTCCGCTGGGGGACTCCAGCCTTTCAGGGGAAATCCTCAGTTGGTGGCTCTCACAGCTGTAGTGTTATATGTGCCGGGCATATTTAATATATGTAACGTGGGCAGGGGAGTGTCCTTAAGAACAGCAGAACTGCTTCAGAGCAAACTTCCTGAGAGGTAGAACATCAATCCTGTCCTAAGTGATGCAGTTACCCTGCTGCCGTCCCCCAGAGATGGCTGCAATTCAGCACCAGACAAGTGATTTGTATGTGATGTGGCTTTTTTTCAGTTGCTCTGTACTGCCACCTCTGGGCTGAGTTTCTCAATGCTGGGCTAGAGATTTCCATGAGGCATTTGCTGTGTTGCTGTTCCCCAGATGCCCTGCCTCAGAGGTGGCTGCGTTTCAACAACAGGGGAGGCATCACTGTGCAGCTGTTTCCTGGTTACCTTTCCCCAGAGGCAGCTGCATCTCATTGCCATGCAGTGCCTGTTTAGGCAAACACTTTGTGGTGAAATGCAAGGCCCTAGGAGGAATGTTTATAACTCCCTCACCAGTTCTAAGTTGGGCAGTTGCTGTAATTGGATCTATTCAGAGGGGCCCCACTTTACAGTAGAGGGAAAGGATTGGACTCCCCTAGCTCCTGCAAGTGAACTGATGTCACCTGGGGCAGGCAAGGGAAGTTAGAGACTGTTTGGTATCCCATGCTAGCCTTGAAGCCAGAGACTAGGAGGAACCTAGCCTGAGGAGAGCTGGCCCATCTCTCTCATCCTCTTCTGGGGCAGGATTATCCCCGACTGACTGTTCCCACAGCAGAGATGGACCCACTTAACCCAGGGTGGGGTTGTCCCCCAGAGATTATTGCCCACAGCTCTTATTTTTTGGTCTCCAAAGGGAAAAGGCTCCTGCCCTTTGCTGTGAGAGATGAGAACATCGGGTATTGGACTTCTCTCTCGTGGGAGTTTCCTTGATGCCTCTAGTTCTCTCTTCCCACCCTAAAGAATTTCTTCCCATCCTCGGCTTTGATGCTTTTGTGCTTGAACACTGATTGACAGTAGCCCCCTGCTTAGCTCTGGGTCACCATGTTCTTGGTCTGTAAGGAATTTCCCCCAGGACTGACCATCAGGGACCTTGGATATGTGGGGTGCCTCCGTCTGCAGCTAGACATGTGGATCACCTCATGAGGTCATCCACACACGAGTCACTGAATCAATTCCCTATCTCCCCATCCCAGATCAGACCTCACTAACCAGGTATTCTGCCCCCTTCTGGCTTTCCCAGCTCATACCCATGGGCCTACCTGCCCTAGCATTGTTGCCCCTCAGTCTCTTCTGTTCTCACAACAACAGTCTAGAATCTGCTCAGACCTAATTTGTGAGCCTGATTCAAACCGGGCCCAGTCCCATGAGGATTGAGTTGACCCGGCAACCCCCACCCCTGCCATTGGGACTCCTTGGCACACTGACTGTAGCATACACAGTGAAGCGAAGTTGCAGGTGGCCAGCAGGAACGCTGTGGGCAGGAGAGCTAGCCTAAGCTTAGCCCTACAGGGGCCAGTAGTTTTCCCACCTGATCCCGGCCCAACACTTGCAGTTGGGTAGCAGAGATCTAGTTGAGCCTCCTCTAATCAATGGGGTCAGCACAGGAGGAACTGGGTGAAACTGCTTGGCCCATGCTATACGAGAAGTTAGACTAGGGTTTCCCAGCCTATGGGTCGGGACCCAAATATGAGTCGCCATTACATTTCAAAAGGGTCACCAAGTGTCTCCCCACATGGCTCTGCCCTCCCTCTTCCCCCCTTTTTGAATTGCCTTGGGTCACCAAGTCTTCCTGAATTGTCAAAATGGGTCCCCAGCTGGCAAACGTTGGGAACTGCTGATGGGCTTTTCTGACTTGGGGCTCTCTGAATTCTCCCAGGCTCCCCCAGTAACCCTGATGAATCTTGTGTCTCTGGCCTACTTTGTCTCCAGCTTGTTGGGATCAAGGGGTCTTTCGGTGGGGTGGAGGGGCGCAGGGGCTGGAGGGAAGGCTAGAGAGGTGCTTCCTCTCTGAACTTGGAGCCTGCTGGGATAGAGGGAGATGCGAGCAACGTAGCAGTCCCAGAGGCAACCAGTAGAGGATACTGTGTGAGTGTTTGTAATATGTGGCTGCCAGTAATTTTTCTTCTCTCTGTCTTCCTCTCAGTTTAAATGAGTCATAATGGATCAGGAAAGTGGGGGTGACACACAGAAAGCCCCCAACTTCCAGTGGAGAAGCTACAAGCTCGTCATTGACCCAGCGCTGCGGCGGGCCCCGCAGAAAATCTACCGCTATGATGGAGTCCACTTCAGCGCCCCTGTGAGTCCAGGCATGGGTGGCAGTGGGGTTTCACTGCCTATTTTTTTTTGTGGGGGAGGAGGAGGGGGGGAGTTGGTGGCTTACCAAGAAAGAAACGGTAGCCACCTTCCTTCCCTTTCTGCCTGGGGCAGTATGCGAGAGTAACCTGCTACATAGGCACGCCCTGGTCAGCTCTTGCTCATCTTGGACTGTGGGTTAGTACAGGAGAGTGTGGGAGGCTGAGAGCTAGAGTTCTGTCCCCAGCTCTGGGAGAGAAGTGGAGTCTATTGGGTTGGGAATGGTGGGCCTGGGACCCAGAACTCCTGGTTGTAGCCCCAGCCCTGGGAGGAGCGTGGGGTCTAGAGCATTAGAGCAAGTGGGGATTTGGAGCCAGGACTCGGGGGTTCTATTCCCCTGCTTCTGTGTTGTTGAGTAACTTAGGGCACATCTCCCCATGCTCTGTGCCTCAGTTTCTTCAAGTGTGAGATGGAGGTAAAACCCCTTGGGCGGGTTTGTGAGGGTCACTAATTGTTCTGGATAAAGCAGCCGGGGTCGCCGGTGAAAAGGGCTGCTGAATCACACAGCATTATCACTTGCTAGCGCAGCACTGTGGCAAAGCTGTAAACTGCAGGGCGCTAGGTGGTTCTCTGCCTGTCAAATCCTATCGCCCCACTTCCGCATCTCGCACACGGGTGTGTTTCTGATGGACCTTGCTGCCCTGCCCCAGGGACACCCGCTAAATCCGATAAGGCTCTGAGGGTGGGTCTGGAGTTGTAAAAACCTCACCAGAAGTGTTCCCATGACGTCCGTTAAATTCCATGTGGTAACCCCTGACCTGCTTTGGTTTCTCCTTCAGTTTGTCATTCTCCGACTCTCAGCGCTCCCTAAAGTCTACTGCATTTTGCTTATAAGCCAAGCACACTCAAACCCAGTCCTGCCCTGCCTCTGAGGCTCTGTCTTCATTCGCCAGTCAGCTGGCTCCCAGGCCTCTTCTCTCTCCCATTAGCAGTGAATGCTGTGCCCTCTTGCTAGGGGGCACCCCCACCAGCCCTGGGGCCCTGAACAACTGGGCTATCTGCTCACCTATCCAGACTATCCCGTTTCCCAGGCCACCTCCTGTGCATCCAGCCCTCTGCTCTTTAGGAAGTGTTGCCCCGGCTCTCCTCTTCCCGGCCTCCTACTCTGGTTTGCATGCCCTTTCTGAGCTGCAGGCCATGGGGGATTTCCCTGTGGGCCTGCTCCTCGTCACCAGCCCTTTGGGACATGGAGGGACACACACAACCCTTGGTGTGTGGTCCAAGAGGTATAGGGGGCACAGAGCCTTTCTGTCTGTGGGGATGGGAGAGGCAGCTGTGGTAGGGGAAAGTGGGACCCAGAACCCCTGGCATAGGCAAAATATGGGGACAGGTGATGCAAAGAACCCCTTGTATGTGGGGGACATTCCTAGCCCCTCGTATCAGAGGATGGGGGAGGGGGGTTCAGGGAGTCCCTGAAAGATGGGGAATGAGAAGGGGCTACCCAGGCATCTTGTTGGGGCGGGATGTAGGGATGCCAGGAGCCCCTGAGGTTGGCATTGAGCTTGGCTGCCTGAAGCTGCAAAGTGTGTGATGCTCTAGTTCAAAGCTACTCAACTTTGGAAGCCCAGGGGGCCACACGGATACTCACAGCACATGCCGAGGGATGCAAAGTTAGTGTGGTTGCATGTACAGGCAAATAAATACAAATAGCTTCTTTCACACTGACGGGTCTGAATACAAAGATTAAGGCAAGACCACACAACACGCTGGCCCCATTTAGATCAGCTCTGCTGCTATTAATACAATGCAATATTTCCCCCTTTCCACTCGTGTGACAGCGCTTTTAATGAGCAATGACAGTCCGGGAATTTTAACTACTAAAACACATCTCAACAGAAGACCATTCTATTGACTCACCATTATGGAACGTGTTCCCAGTGGAGGCCATGTTCAAAGGATCCCACCTGTGGGCCGTGTGTTGAGCCCCGTGTAAACCCAAACTGCACCGCAGGCTGCAAACAAACGGGCCGCGGGCCGCATGCAGCCCACAGGCTGCGTGTTGAGGAGCCCTGCTTTAGTTATTTGTGTCACTGTCACCGTCACCTCTAGGAGCCCAGCCATAGGCCTGGTGGCCATTGTGCTGGCACTGTATGTTCTGTAGTAGATGTATTACAGTGGTGCCACCCTGTGCAGTCCTGGCCCAAGACCACCCTCCTGCTAGGCGTAGCTCAGACACAGCTCTCTCTGCCCCTTACATCTGACACGCTCCGTGTACAACAGGTCGCTCCAGACAGACGGCAGCTGAAGAAAACGTTGGCTCAATAAGCGTTTTGTCTGGCACTAGCTCTAATCATTCCCCTTCCCCCAGCACTAGGTGCTGCACTGTCCTCTCGCTCACTTTGCAGGCAAACCTGCCTCAGACTATCCAACCTAACACCCTTTCTGGTTTGGCATGGCACTGGACCTCTCTTGGTTTCTTTCCTGGTCTCCAGCTGATACACTCAGCCAGATGCCTTCCAGGTTGTGATGGGCTAGTCCTCTGGCTAGGCCGCGGTTACCCAAAGTCCAAAATAAACTCTTCCATCCCACCTGGGCTTCTTAGAGTCCCAAGGACGTCCGATGCCTCTGCCTTGTGTGAGCTCATGCCACCCTATGTCCATCACTGGCAGGCATCTCACCAGGCCTGCCTTTCTGCAGGCAGGCTCCGAGAGGCGCAGATGCCCTGTGTTCCTGTCCCAACTGCTCTCTCATGGCAACAGAATGTGAATCTCTTACTGCTGGGCTGGCTTGTGTAGACTGGATTTGGGCTTAACTTTTGCCTCCCTTTGATAACCCCAGGGCTGTCAGATGTCATAGCCAGGTGACTAAAGGCTGTGTTCCTGCAAATACTCACGGGTGTCCCTTGCAGTATCCACCTCCCACAGGCTGGATTTGCTGTAGGGCACCATGAACAAAAACTGGGATTGCTGGTGCCAAAGCTGGAGGCTATGGGCCTATCACAGAGGGACTTTGTGAATCTGTGGGGTTTGGCCCAGTAAAAGGGGCACTCCCAAGGTACTGGCCCCAGGCTGGGGCATAGACTATGTGGATCTGTGATGTACAGAGCAGATATAAACCCTGGTGTATCAGGCAGATGCCAATTTCTGCTTGCCTTGGATGAGGAAGAAACACAGCCCCTTGGCCAGGGGTTCCTAACCTGGGGTACGCGTACCCCCAGGGGGTATGAGAAGCTTGTCAAGGGGGTACGAGAAGGTTTACTAAAAGCCAGGGGGGCACGGGGACCCAAAAAGGTTGGGAACCCCTGCCCTAGGCTCTCATGATAGGATAACAAGTCTTGTGGCTAAAGAAGCGGTGGATGTGGTATACCTAGACTTAAGTAAGGCATTTGATAGTCTTGCATGATGTTCTTATCAATAAACTGGGCAAATACAACCTAGATGGGGCTACTCTAAGGAGGATGCATAACTGTCTGGAGAACCATTCTCAGAGAGTAATTATTAATGGTTCACTGTCATGTTGGAAGGGCATCATAAGTGGGGTTCTGCAGGGATCTGTTTTGGGTCCAGTTCTGTTCAATATCTTCAGTAATTTAAATGATGGCATAGAGGGTACGCTTATTAAGTTTGCAGATACCACCAAGCTGGGAGGGGTTGCAAGTGCTCTGGGGGACAGGGTCATAATTCAAAATGATCTGAACAAACTGGAGAAATGGTCAGCGGTCAATAGGATGAAGTTTAATAAGAACAAATGCAAAGTGCTCCGCTTAGGAAGGAACAATCTGTTTCACACACACAAAATGGGAAGTGACTGTCTAGGAAGGAGTCCTGCAGAAAGGGATCTAGGGGTCATAAGTCAGCAGTGTTGCAAAAAAACCAAAATGTGATTCTGGGATGCATTAACAGGAGTGTTGTGAGCCAGACACAAGAAGTCATTCTTCCGCTCTACTCTGTGCTGATTAGGCCTCAGTTGGAGTATTGTGTCCAGTTCTGGGCACCGCATTTCAAGAAAGATGTGGAGAAATTGGAGAAGGTCCAGAGAAGAGCAACAAGAATGATGAAAGGTTTAGAGAACATGAGCTGTGAGGGAGGACTGAAGGAACTGGGCTTGTTTAGTTTGGAAAAGAGAAGACAGAGGGGATATGATAGCTGTTTTTAAGTATTTAAAGAAGTGTTACAAGGAAGGGAGGGGGAAATTGTTCTCCTGGCCTCTATGGTAGGACAAGCAATGGGCTTAAACTGCAGCAAGGGTGGTTTAAGTTGTACATTAGGAAAAGGTTCCTAACTGTCAGGGTGATGAAGCACTGGAATAATTTTCCTTGGGGAGTTGTAGAATCTCCATCCCTGGAGATATTTAAGAGCAGGTTAGACACACACCTGTCAGGGATGATCTAGAGCAGTGTTTCTCAACCAGTGGTACAGGTGCCCTTGGAGGTACTTGAGAGAAGCCTGGGTGGTACACCGAGAAAACAGAATTTTTGTTTTAAGTTCTACAGCGCTTCATTGTTTTTGTACTTTTTACACTCAAACATTTCATTGCCCGCCAGCCCATGATGAAGTTGTTTAAACAAATGTTTCAATGGTAGAAAAAAAAATTGTCTGAGAACTGTAGGTACTGGGGGTACTTTACTTTATATAAAAAAAGTTTGAGAAACACCAATCTAGGTGGTGCTTGGTCCTGCCTTGAGGGCAGGGGACTGGACTTGATGACCTCTCGAGGTCCCTCCTCGTTCTAGGATTGAGTCATCTGGGTCAATGAGGTGTCCTCTGGCCTTGACAAATGCAGTCTTGCCTCGCTCATACCCCTTCAGAATGCTGCTGCAAGGAGAGTTCTCCAAGCCCACCGCTTTGCCTGTCATCCCTCTCTGTGCACCACCGCCCCCACCCCGGCAGGGTCCCTCGCCTCGGATATAAGCTGCTTGCCTTTCCTTCGCTGGCTGCTCCTCACCCAATCTCTCCTGGTTCATTTGCTTGTGAGACGTCTGCTCCTGCCGCTGGTTGGCCGACA